CTACATGATTATCTTTTCTTCCAGCTCAAGAAAAACCTTGTCTTTTCCTATAGTTACTGAAAATTCTGCCTTATATATCAAGATCTGAATTATAACGTTGAGTATCACCAGATTGATAGAAGACAATTTAGTGTCTGCTCATTTTGTTACTATTATTTTTATTTGTCGAGCAGCAGTTTTTTTTGTTTGTTTGTTTTTGTTATATTTTTTGCCTTGTGGATTCTGTGTATTTTAAAGAAATAATTATTTCCTTCTTCACCTCTCCTGCTAGGAAGCTTAGAGTGAAAAGAGTGCTTCCTCTGTAGCACTTGGTTTGCATTTCATGTTCAAGTTTCACATCAGGCTCATCTTACTTTGCTTACTTGGCTTTTCATCTTTATCACATAAAATGTATTGTTTCTGCTAATTTATTTGCTTAGAATTTGGTTGCTTAGTGCTTAGCCTTTGAGAATCAAAGATGAGTATGAATTTTAGTCCTTTAACCTTACTAGAGGTGTGCCATTTTTGAAACAATGCAGGGCACAGGATAGAGAAGTAAATAAAACAAGTACAGACACTTTATTTAGGTAAGACTGAAATCTAGGGATGTTGCTGTGTATCTGGTACAGGGTATATACAAGGTAAAGACTCCATGGTGGATGGGAAAATTTCAGGTCAGTTCTAGGAAAAAAAAAAATCGTATAACATAAATGATCTATGTAATCAATCTATGGGAAAAAGACAAGATAACATTATCACTTAATCAAGGGAAAAAGGTCTATTGCCTTCTCATGATCAGGGATTTAAAATAGGCAACTGATGGGTAGCCCCGATTACTAGAGAAAAATTGAGCTTCTATGCTACACAAGGCATATAGATTAGAGGTAAGGTGCCATGGTAATGATCCTTTTATCTGTGCCTCCACTTATATTAGTCAGTTGAAATGGAATAAGAAAAAAATCAGGGTAGTGAATTCACAACCACAACGTGTTATTTCAAGAAACACAGAACTGATTTAAATGATGTACATCTAAGCCATTTTAATTTGCATTGGACTGAAAGTTGGCATGTTTCTCAGTCCAGATGTAATTTATTTAAATTCCTTTAGTAGTTTTTTCAATTTAGAAATATGCATAGACATAAAATCTTGCATGTGTCAATTTTTTTCTATACATTTGTGACTTAAAATTGGCCAAATTATTAAATGGATTGTTCTTAAACTGAACTAAAGATGGCTTTCATTTATGATGCCAAGAAATGAAAAGTCTGATAATTAGGAGAATGAGGGATATTCTGGCAGTACTTTGTGCCTGGATTCAGGATTCAGGCTCTCAATGAGTTTCCAAAGTGACTTAATAATACAAAGCATATGTGTGTGTGTGTGTGTGTGTGTGTGTGTGTGTGTGTTTAAGATTTTCATAATTATTTGGAGAGACACAGGGAGATGTCACACACCATAGGATATAGTTTTCCACCAAGAAATCCCCACTGGAAATTTCTGTCCTCAGTCCTTTTCTTTCCGAGCTTCTAAAATGTTTCTATCTCTGCTTTTCTGTACTGCCCCCCGCTCCATCACTTTTTTCTTCCCTCCAGGTTTCCACCCTATTACATACTCTATTCCCCATTTCTACCTCCCTCTGCCTTTTATTATACAGGGCAATTTGCTGAATATTCTTGGTTATTTAAGTATGATGAGTGTTTCTGTTTTCACCCCCTATTATTTTCACTGGGCCTTTCTTATGAATAATGCGGGTTTCTCCACAGGGAGGAGTTCTAGTGAATAGGATTATCTTTCTTTTTTGTATACACAAATATGCATATAGATACTGTATTTGAAATGTGTATTTTTAGAGGTTTAGCCTGGATCATGGTTTGAACACTCAACTCCTTAGGGTATCTAGAATTCAAGAAACACAGTGGGCTAAAATGATGGTGCTCTGGTCTTTTTCCTTTCAAAATATTGTGCTTAAGTAATAAAATGGCTGAACAGAGCATGATGATGGGCCGCATGTTGTTGAAGCATAACCTAGTCTACTCAGTGGTCAGTTTATAACTCCAGGCTTTTACAAACCCTAAATGTTTCCAGCTATAATAATCAATGCTTTGGATTTATTGCTGCTCTGATCAAAAATCTCCAATGGATTTCTATTGCAGAGAGTTCTGTGAAGGTAGGAACTTGGTCTGATTATATATAATCTATCTATTTCTATCTATATCTACATCTATCTATATCTATATATCTCTATCTATCTATCTATCTATCATCTATCTATCTATCTATCTATCTATCTATCATCTATCTATCTATCTATCTATCTATCTATCTATCTATCTATCTATCTATTTATCTATCTATCTATATCCTGCTGTCTCCTCAGAGATTAGGACAGTGGATAGGACATAAAAATTTGTTTAATATATGAAAATACAGGTTAAAATCTTCATCAGTCCGATTAGACTAGGTTATGCTTCAACAACAAATAGCCTTCAAGTCTCAATTGCGTAAAGAACAAATTATTTCTTATTCGTTATGGACATCCATTATGGGCTGGTAAGGGGAGTGAGGGCCTCTGCCCTTTGTAGTCATTCAAGATCCAGGCTGATAGCGAAGCTAGTTCCTGTTCTAGAGGTAAAAAGAGATCTAGAAGGTGTCGCTTCAACAGCTAAAATGCTCTAGCCTCAAAGCAATACCATCAGTTCTGCTGACATCTTAATGGTCAGCACTTTATGGCCCACCCAACCATAAAGTGATCAGGAGGTACAATCCTACAGTTGCCAGAGATAGAAAGGTCCAAACTTCTTTGAAAGGTGAGAGTAGTTTCACTTTCAGTTGGGAGAATGAACTAAATTGTTTTAATGTTAAGATCTGTTGATGCTTATATGATTAGGGCAAATGATTATTGGCTGCAATACAATGGACTACAAGGTATTTAATAGAAAAAAAATGGAAAAGTGTTGGTATTTTTGTTCCATCACATATATATCTACAAAGTCATTTAAACCTGAAAAGACAAGTCTTTCTTACAGTCTTTTTGTTTTAATTTTTTTCAGCAATTCCTACTTGAGTGCCTTGAACATAATCTGTAGTTTCCAGTTTATTAAATTGAGTTGGAAACTAGATAAGTAACTATGTTGAGCCTTAATTGAATCCTTAGAAATAAAGAACATAAAAGTTACAGTTTTGCAAAATGGTAGCCTTTATTAGCAAGTGTGAACTTCCTTTTAATTTTGATATATTAGCATTGCACTGAAAAAACAAACCCCAAAACAATCATAGGGCAAAGACTATCTTCCACACTTTTATTTTTCAAATGCTTGAAATGTATTCAATATATGCCTCTGAAATGAGTGAATAATAATTTTTTGAGACTGTGTTAATGTTAAAAAAATAAGAAATGTAATGGTTATTTTTTGAGGGTGGGTTGTTTTTTCCATGAATTGTTTTATCCCAGTATTTAAGAGATGGGCTCTTGAGCCAGATCATTGGAGTTTGTAACCTGTGCTTTCACTTACTAGTTATATTACTTTGAACAAATTTCTTAATCTGCCTGGCTTCCCTCAAGTTCCCCATTCATGAAATGGAGATAATAATGTTTATCTGGGGTTAGAAATAGTATTAATAATAGGGTTAGTAGAAAGGATTGAGTTATACCTTACGAGCGACATACTATAGAGTTGTGCTAGTACATGATGAAGGTTAAATGAACATTAACTTCTGCTGCTACAATTATTATTACTTTTTGTATTGATCATAGTCCATGTAAATACTCCGTGTATATTCATCAATACACCAATAATGTACCACAGAAATGAAATATGCAATACCATCCAGAACTTTGGCGTTTCTGACTTATTTTTAACTATAAGATTAGTATTTACTGTTATCTTGAAATTTGTTCATTGGTAAGGTTTAATAAACAGTTGTTATGTTACAAAGAGCTATTATGTGTACATTGTGCAATGTGAAAGACCAGTGGGAAAGATTGATGAGTCTGAAGGGTCCCTCGCTCTCTCACTCTGTATAACGTGAGAAAAGAGAATGGCTTCCAAAGACGCACTGCAGCATCGAAACTTTCTTCTAATGCCTGCAAAAGGCAAGACAGTATTCTGAAACATTTCAAAAGGTTTTTGAAGAACAAAATTATTTCCTTCTTTTTGAAGAAGGAAAATTATGAAAACTACCTTGATTCTGAAAACAATATGAAAGAATAGATAGTATGAGCTATAACAGTGAAGATCACATTGATCTTGTTCTCTGCCTTGTCCCATGCATCTAATACATAGTAGGTGCTTTATAAGTGATTCATGAAATAACTGAATGAATATTTCTGAGAATCACTGCTAGTGCATTCTAAATCTAAAATTGAAAATTAGGTCACTTTTCATGCATCACTGATGTTTAGGTACAATCACACTATGTTTCCGAAGAAGAAAGTGTTCAAATCACAGCACTAGAAACAAAATATTGAACTTCTGAGCGTTTTCTCTCCCCATCCTAGCATATTATTTGAGGGAGAGGGAAATTAAAAAAAAAAATGCCTTGAGCATATTTCTTTGTCAAAACATAATCTTCGATGCTGAAAATGACATATTTCTATTTATTAAACATGTTCAAAAAAAACACAAAAGGTTTTTATTAAGCTTATGAATATGAACATTTATACTGTATTCCAGGTGTTCCATATTCCCAGATTCAACTGCTAAAACAATCAACAGACTTAAATTTATATAAATCTAACAATATTTTTGGTTAAATTACTGGTTATAAGATCATTAAGAAGTAAGAAATGGCTACTATTTCACTTTCCCATTTACTGTTAGAAGTCTCATTCCCATTAACATTATCAATATTTTGCAGAACGCTTTTTTCTTGTTTCTCCTTCCCTTTTACTCTTTTGGCAGAGTGTCATCAGTAAAGCTTCTAATATAATACCCCAGGCAATATAGTGTTACAGAATCAGTGGGCAGGTATTACAATTCACTGTAGCTGTAATGGAGGGTAATGTCACTTTAAGACATGTGATACTTTACAGAGGAGGGATGTATTGAAACAGACTACTGCTACTTACAGCACTGTATAGCAGCCCGGCTCCTGCATTTTGCTGCCTTACTCTGCCCCGAATGCACTGGAATGGGGATGGTCCATCATTAACTATAAACTGATTCTCGTCAGGAAACTGCACATTATCTCACCATCACTTCAAAGGTCTCGTCAGGCAGAGGTGACGCCAGGAGATGATTTAAAGGTGAAAATGACAAGGTTTCCACCCCTCAAACCTTGGCTCCTTTTCTGACAATACAGTCTGAATGAACCCAATGTCTCCTTTATTGTGGAAATAGCATCCGAAGAGAAAAACATATTTTTTTAAATCCTGATAAAGAAGATTATTGGAAAGCTCTTTAAAAAAAATCTTGAATTGTGGCACAGATGGATTTTAGAAAGTGTTAGAGCTTTCCAATGAACGCTAATAGAGTACTCTGCTCTTGGCTGGATTTTTCAGGTAAGAAGCCTCTTTTAAGGATTTAAGATTCGGAAAGCAGATTTGTAACCTATTCAGTCATCTCTAGAGAACTATGTAAGGTTGGATGCATTATTTGGGGGGAAACACATATTAACATAGAGGCTACCTCTTGGTAAGAGAGTGAGCAATGAGAGTGACATGCAGGAACCTTGGAAGTAATGCTGAGAATTAAAGAAAGTAAATGGAAAAAAAAGGAAAATACTGTAAAGGTCAAGTCGCAGTAATCCTTTTGAGTGCTAAGATGAATGTGGGTGAAGAAATGAACAAAAGAAACTAGGCACTGAAAAACTGTTAAGTTTTGATTGTGGTAGGCTTTTTCAACTTCAGAGAAAGTCCTCGTGCATTGTAACTGAAATTTACAAGCAGTCTATGCATGCAACAGTCACCTATGTTTTGTTATTCTGTAATTTTCAGGGTATTTTGAAAAGTCCCCAAAATGCATTCATTTCTGGATTCACAGGAGGGGCATTGCTACTTATCCCCGCTGAAGAGAATGCATCTATGTTACCCTGATAGTTCAGAAGACAATGAGGCTAAATTTGTTGTATAAAAAAGTAAACAGTGGGCAGTGAAACTAATACAGTGAATGGCCCATCTGAATCACAGACTGGGGCAGGAAAGGCACCATGCTGTTTAAAATAATATTTTCCTACTTTGCACTTAATTATGGTTGTCACCGTTTGTCTATCACTGTCCTAAAACCCTTCTTAAAGATTACATCTCTTTCCTAAAACCAATAAATTATCTTGTATTATGTCCGTACACACACACACACACACACATTTCTTTGAACATCACATTTTTTGAAAGAGTACCTATTTCTATGACTAAAGAAGTCACACTGGGAGATCACTAGGAGGTTTTAAACGTGTAGTTGAAATACTTGAAGTGTATGATTTCACAGTGAAAAATTCTTTAAAAAAGAAACAATCTTGGTTCCAAAGCTCTCTCTATCCAAGAGAAAAGCATATACTTAACTGGATTGTGTAGAAAATGCTTCCATATCACTAGCTGAGTAAGGATGATGTTTCAAGTTTGATTAATTTGGCAATATGAAATGAAGCATAAGGTGTTGTTTGAAAAATTAGACAATATGTAGTGCAGCTGAGCTTTGCAGCTCTAAGATTGTTATAGGTACAGATAAGACTTTCAAAGTTTCAGCACCTGCGAAAAGGTGTATGCTCATCCATAAATACATACACCACCTGTATATGCATATTCATCAACACTATACAACAAATGCCACAATGGGATCTTGGGAGGCAAAGCAATATTGTAAATTAAGGCTCACACCACGACAGAAACACAGATCTTGCATCTGAAACTCATTCTGGCTAAAACAATTCTTTCTGATTTAAGTCCAGCCAAAAACACTGGTTCTATCAGGAGATTACAACATGCCTCTGAGAAATGATTACTTAGTTTAGAAGATAGCATAGAGATTAAAAATTCATGACTGTAGAATTAAAAAAAAAAAAAAAAAAAGAATCCCCTCTTTCCTTTCAGGCTTATGTCAGACTTTCAATGAAGTTAAAATGAACAGGAGTGTGCAGCTTTTCAATGCCTGGAATAACTAAAACTTAAAAGATCATTGTGAAAAACAGGATGTTTAGTTAGGATACAATGTTTCAAACTGCCTGATAGTCAAACTTCAATTTATTTTTGTATTTTGCCAATCCTCAGAGTGGTTTTGCAGAATTTGAAATGAATTCATGATCTCCTGGAGAGTGCTTTACTTCAATCCTACTTCATGGCATGACCTCTGCTGGGTCATTTTTTTCTAGTAGAAAAGGGACATGACGTGTGAGACACCCCCTTCTCTCATCAGTCGAACTGACTGAGCTGGGGGCTTGAAGCTGGAGCTAATTCTTCCTGTCTAATGTTTTCTTCAGAGAATGGCAATGGTCTCTGCGATGTCCTGGGTCCTGTATTTGTGGATAAGTGCTTGTGCAATGCTGCTCTGCCATGGATCTCTTCAGCACACTTTTCAGCAACATCACCTGCACAGACCAGGTAAGCCGGTCGTTGGCTCCACTACAGCCTCCGGTCTCACCGCTGACTCCTTAAGAGATGATTGAAGGCAAGTGACAAAAAGTGTTATAGTGTGGGCAGCTTGCCTCTGAATTCCAAGACATATTGTTGGCTGGATACTTTGGGGAAAGGGGGGTTACTAAAATGACTTGCAGGTATTTCTATTAACTTCTTAGAAAAAGGGATTTTTATCTAAGAGCCCCCCACCCCTTCCACACCTAAAAAGTAGAAATCATTTGTTTTTGGCAACTTTGGCCAAAAGTGATATATTCTGTAAAAGGTGGGATAATTTTCAAGACTTGAGGAATTTTTAGGGAAGTCAAATATGATCTTTGTAACTGATAAAATAACGTGTGCATATTCCTGGGATGCATTTTTTATCTAGTAGTGATACTATAATCTCTGTGTGTATGTGGCTAAGGACTGTGTGAGAATGTTAGTGCCCAAAGTAACTTTGGAAGTAGTTTGTCAATGAAAAAGAAATGAAAAAGTAACTTACTATTTCTTGTCTGGTTTAATTTGTCTTCTTTCCTTTCTCCCTTTCTTCACTTTCTGTTCTTCTGGTATGCTCCATGGCTTCTCTCTCTCTCTCTCTCTCTCTCTCTCTCTCTCTCTCTCTCTCTCTCTCGGCACTTTTAGGGACAAGTTCCTTTTAGCCTGACTTTTTTTTTTTTTCTAGATTGAATTTTGAGTTCCGAACGTATTTTGCTTTCTTGATCTTTCTGTTCAAAGTATATTTTCTACCCTTTCAATGGTCTCATTCTTCAATCTGGATTTTTCTCTCCTTCTTTGCTTCTCCAGCTTTCTCATTACTGTCCCCTAGCTCGACTATCCTTACCCGCCCAGATTCTCGAAAAGATTTCCTTCCATTTTCTATTTAGCTTCAGCCTTTGCATCCATTAACTCCACCCTCCTTCCTCCACCTTCACCGCGTCTGAGCTCTGGGGACCAGTTGCACGCCCAAGCTCCTGATTCTCAGTTCTCAAATGCTCCTACTCCTCCACCCTCCTCTCCAAATCCCTTTCTGGCCTCCTCCCATCCTCCTCGCTTCCTCCTGCTGAGCAGTCCAGCGTCCACGCCTTTGCCTTTCCTCGGCTCTGCTGCGGGCCTGGGCACGGATCCTGGGCTCCTCCTCACAGTCCTCTAGCAACACTTCGCGGGGCGCAGCTTGCAGACTCTCTGGGCTCTGCTTCCAGGCTGGGGGTAGGATGGAAAAAGCGCGGATGAAGTCCGGGGTCCTTCCGCGCGCTCGCACCAGGCTGTAGGGGAGCGCGCCAGCCAGTTCTTTGCCGTAGCCCAGGTCGCTCCGGTAGGAGAGTCGAGGGCCTGAGCGCGGGGCCGAGGCCGGGAACTGCCTCTCGGCCCCCGCCACCCTAATTCCCCACGCCCTGGGGAGGGAGGCGAGGGGGCGCTGGTGTCCCTGCAGGTGGGCATGGAGAGCGCTCTGCGGCTGCTGCGCTCCTGTTTTTGTGCCGAGTGTGTCCTGAGCCTTAAGTAGACTCCGCCAGACTCTGAGGCTTCAGTGCCCAGATGGAGGAAAAACCAACGTGGGTTTCGGAAACTCCACGTTACCTCCAATCAGTTAATCACCAATTTGTTCTGGCAAAAAAAAAGTCTTTGATGTGTTACACAGCCACACAAAATACGTGGGAAATCTGCATTAATCGTAACACTTAAAAATAAGAGTACATAACAAAAACAACTATTGTTAGTATTTTACTCTCTCAAGGTTAATTCCTTTTGTTTGGCTTGATCCTTATACAAGTAGATGTAATCTCTCTCCTGCCCCCACACCTTTCGCCCCAGACTAAAGTTCTGAGGGACTGGGTGACTTGTCTGAGACCACACAGCTAATAACTGTCATTAAGGGTCAGGTTGGTCTGATTTCACCCTCAGAGCCTGTTTCCCAAGGAATACACGGTTAGTCTCTGAATGTTTAGAATAATTTTGTCAAGTAGCCTCTTTGAGGAAGTGTGAGCCCTTTGACATCATTTGTGAAAACTTTCAGGTTATGTAGATAGGTGGAATCATTTGAACTATAAACCCATTCTGAAAAGCAGCCATGGCAGAACTGGTGAGAAGTAGTATGTGGTGATGGCAGAGCTCAGGACTGACCATCATCTCTGTCACTTAACATGAATGACATCACCTTGGGCAAGTCACTTCTCTGAGCCCAATTTCCCCTTTAGGGATGCTGTGGAGTGTAATGAAATAATCTTCTGGAAAGTGCTTTGTTAACTGTAAAGCTCTTCATAAACATCAGGAATTGCTGGCATTATCCCCACTTAATAGACAAAAAGCATGCATGTTAGAGATGTCGAAGGAGTGAAATGGTGCATTCATGCAGCTAATAGTCCAACCACATAGTCAGGACGAAAACCTTGCTTTTACTCTTGAGGTTGCTTTTTAGCTATGTGGTACCTTGCTAGAATATACCACCAAATTCTATGTGTCTTATGTTACTCTCTATGCACATAGTCATGAAAAATGGTACAGTTTGCAATGAGCTTTCACATAGACTGCCTCTATTAACCAGTTAATATATGAGATTTTTTGGGTGAGAGGTTATGACTATGCTACTTGTAATAAGTAAAATCATGTCTTTATGGGGTTTATCAAAATATTATAATTTCAAACTGAGAAACACATCATTAGGTTCTGATGAAGTTAAACTCAGTATTTGTTTTCTCCATTGTCAACCCTTAGAAATTACTTATTATCACCAATGCATGGACAATCTGTATGTAAAATACCCCAAGAAACTGCAGCTAGGAAACCGTTTTCAACTCCAAGTGCTTATACGTCTGAAACTTAGTTTAGTTTTGTTGATGAAATAAACTATAAGTATTCCTTTCTAGATACGGAAAGATTAAAATGGCATTAAACTCAAAGTCCAATGTATGTAATATGGTTATTCAACTTTCTCAGGTTTTTGAGAGTAGCTGTAAAGATTAAAGCAATAGATCTTGGACATAGCAATATTCTAGATTATTTCAGTCAGAAATACAATCTTCTTTAATAGTCTTCTGTTTTGATTTTAAGAGTAAATATATGCTTTTTGTGATGAGAGCTGGGATGTTTCTTTTTGTGGGTCTTAAATCTTCAGGGACACTAATGAAATGTGTATGAAAACAAGAGGGAAATCAGGGCCAGTTATCTGTGACAATCCACCCCTAAATGAGCAAATAAATAAATAAATAGCTGGATAAATGAGCAAAAAGAAGAAACATAATCTCATTTTCTCAAATCAGTTAAAACAAGTGACATGATGAGAAAAAATGAGACACCAGCAGACTCTGAGCCTTGCCACATTTGCCTAACCTTGAAAAATCGCCTCTTTCATAAAGCAGGAGCAGGCAGACACCATGTGCATACCAAGTATCTGGGAAATGTGAAAAATGACAAATCTTTCACTCAGAGCCCTGAATGGAGGGAGAGTGAAGGCTTTACAGCTGCCTCCTCACCTGCTTAGGAACGGCTAGCCCCCTCTCGCCAGCCTTTTACAGGCAGCTTCACCATCCCCTCAGTAAGATTGATGGTGCTCTGATCCCAAGCAGCCAATTTCAGTCTCTCAAGAAATAATCCACTACACTGACAGATGAGTGGAATTTGACATGATGTTCCCCCCTCGTTCAGATTGTGCAGCACCTGGATGGCACCAGCCATCCCAGGTCCTTTAGAGGAAATGGTTAGAGATTTGGGCCAATTTCTGCTGTCAAAACTTGAAATCAGGACAATGTTTTTGTGAAACCATGAATTTGTGATCTGTCTTCTCAATGCAGTGTGTGTTGTACACAAACAGAATGAGAATATGTTAACTAGAAAACTGACTGATTTTAAAGTATTCCCTTGCAGTTCCTAAGTACTTGGTATTTTTCATATTTACAGTATTAGGAATGCACCATTTATTTTGTTACTCACTAGTTAAGGAAGATTAAAAATCAATTTAATGAAAGTGAATTTTAAAATTACACAAATGAGTATAATGTTCTATGGATTAACAGATTTTTAATTTTAATTAATATTTGGCTAAATCTAGTTTTCACTTTGGGAATAATGTAGGAAATTACTATAACTATTTGAAGAACACTCATGCCTTTTTAAAATATATACATGATAGCTATAAGGAGGGCACTTAATTTAAAAAAGGTAGACTACAAATTGTTTCAGTAATTAAAATAGACAGCTTCAATTCTATACAATCACCAGTTGTTGTGTAACAAGTGAAAAATGATGAATGGTTTGCTTAATGTAACTTTCTAATTTAGGATTGGATTTTTTTCCCTTATGGATACATAAATTACAACAGCAGTTTTAATGATTACTTAATTTCAAGTGTGGGGGTGTATGTGTGAGGGGTTGTCCTTGAAACTTAATAAAATATGAATCATTTCAAAATACTTTAGTGAGAAAGTTCCTTGAAATTATCTAGTAATTTAAAATTATATAGATAAATTACATGAGACAAGAAGTTATAAGTGCCTAATGAATCATTTATTCTGGAGTCACTGCTATTTTATTGACAAAGGTTTATAGAAATTGTATCTAAAAAGATTACTCTGAACAGAATAGTCTATTAAATTTATACTTGGCCTGATTTAAAGCTTTATCAAGCAAAATATAGAGATATTCATTTACGACTTAATTATTAGTACTGAAGATCACCATCCATTTTTAAGTGTTTTTTAAATTAAAATATAAAAAAGCATTGTTGTATGCTTTGTATTAATTTTTACCTTATTGTTCAATATTATTTTATTGAAAGCTGCTGAAGGCATGCGCATTAGAATGCCAAGGTACATTACAATAAAGAATTGTCTTATAAAATAGTGAGGAAAATAGTGGTTGCATAATGGCTTTTTAAGAATGCATACTAGCACCAGGTTTCTAAGTGTAGTGAATTGGTGTAAAGATTAAGGAATAAGGTTGTTACTTGTAAACTGAGGCTAGCGATAATCCATTGATCATCTGAATGATGATAC